TAAGGCCACTTTTCTGTTAATAAAAAATTCAGATACGAAGCCTGCTCGTGCTATTGACGCTTAGCACTTTTTCTCTTTTATATCAGATTGAGATTTTATCTCGACTCAACCGCTTTTGCGGATGTATGGGACGTGAAGGAATTTCGTGTTCTCTTTGTGTATCCGTCATCTTATCACCACACGTCGCACACGCACCTAGTTTTGTGTATTTCTCCCAAATAGGTGTTGGATGTGTGATTTTTAAAAACCCCGGTAATCTAGTGTTCAGTTGTGCCTCAGGTGTGTACTACTTTTTTTTATCAGATTCCAGGCCTCAAGTTCATAAAATGCTTGTTAACTCTCAAAGACTCTTTGCCCAATGCACTGTTGACACAATGAACCGTAGTCACCCCGTACAAAGGTCCTTTCTCCCTCCACCTCTCTCTGAATTCTAAAGCAGCTCTGAAATATTATCTGGCCGTGTCTCCAGCGACAAAGGGCACCGCGGGGCCGCTCAATGCTGCTTATTATGGAGGTGATGAGCTTCCACTGAAGCGGAAACCTTCCGGCAAGCCCAGCCCCGGCTCCTGTGAAGGGGGGACACTTCTCTCGTGAAAGACACCACGGCTACATTCAAGCAATAAGGCCAGAGCCGCCTTTTCAACTGGGCTCCTGGTAGTAGGAGTGACATTTTTTCTTCTTCTATTGCTCCGATAGTCTTTGACCGAAAATGGAGAGGGGGGGAAAAGTGGGAACGAAAAAGTTCGGAGCAAACTTGGGATGGACAAAGAAAGTACACGCGAAGGTGAAAGCATGAGACAGACATAGTACACGGTACAGCAACAAGAGTTCCGCCAGGCGGCACTCACATAGTGTGTTGCGAGTGATTTGGTTTCTCCGACAGCTTGACACAAACAAAGAATATCTTGGGGAAGGGTTGTAGCTATATTATTTATGAATGAATGAATAAATAAACAAAAATCCAAAGAAATAAGCAAAACAATATACAAATAAATAAATGAATACGTGGAGAGATCTAGTTTGATATAGATTGATAGATTGAATGAATCAGTGAGTGAATGAATGAGTAAAGATATATTATAAATGTACATAAAACAGTTTCGATTTTGGATTGTAAGCCAGTGGTGAATAGGGGTCTTCTTGGAAGATAATAATAATGTTATTACATTTGAACTATCCTGTCAGAAAATGAGACGTCATTAGTAATGTCCAAGTCGAGAAAAGCGTTTGTGAAGGTAATATTATAAACCAGAGGAAGGAACCCCATAATACTATGAGCGTAGGCTACACATTGTTTACCTTAAATCAGGAGATACGAAGGAAAGTGCTAATCTGACACAGCTGCTTTAGATGAGACCAATCTATACATGCTTTTGAAACATTTAATGGCACAATTAGTTATTCACCAAACTTGGCTTTCCAGATACTCGCTATTTCCACTTTAGGGTCCTCGTCGTTTTCACCGATGTCTGAGGTTAATTATAACAATACTGCTGTATATTAGTTGTCCTCTTATGGGGATGCACAGCTGGGGACAAAGAGAGCTGACCTCAGCAATACAGGCGCCTCGCAAAATCTGTATTCTACGACGAATGTGTCAGTATGTCCGTGTGTGTGTGTGTGTGTGTGTGTG